GCAGGGCCCAGCCCCCGCGCAGTGCCCGGCAGCAATTAAGCTGGAGCAACCTGTGGCTCCGGGAAGTGGGGGCTGTGAGGAGCCTGCTTAGGCACAGAGAGTGGCTGACACCCACCCACCCGGTCAGCTGGAGTGAGGGGTCCGCCAGGCGGTCTGGGTCCTGAGCTTTTAACCCTCCTTAGTCACTTACCCAACGGGCACAGACTGATGACTGTTCTAAGTGCTGGGCATGAATTAAACTCATTTAAACTTGCACAACTCCATGAGGTGGGACTACTATTAACCCCACTCTACAGATCAAGAAACCGAGGCAGAGAAAGCACTTCAAAATATCGCCAGAGCCCGGGCAGCATGGCTCAGTGGTTAAGCCTGGACCTATGAACTGGGGGAGGGGGGCGGTGTCACAGTTCCCCTTCGATTCCCAGTCAGGGCACATGCCCGGGTTGTGGGCTCCATCCCCAGTGTGGGGCATGCAGGAGGCAGCCAATCAATGATTCTCTCTCATCACTGATGTTCCTATTTCTCTCTCCCTCTCCCTCCTCTCTGAAATCAATAAAAATATAAAATTATATATATCGCCAGAATCCTCCCACGCTGCTAATCTCTGCCAGGGCAGCTGCTTCTCCACTCCCCGCCTTTGACTCCTGCTCCAGCCATCTACACCCCACACACCAGGGGCCCTTAAATACTTTGATGGGATTCTGTCCCTCTGTCCCTCCTGTGCTCAGAACCCTCCAGTGGCTTCTGCCTCACGGAGAGTAAAAGCTAAAAAGCTCAGAATGGCCCGCATGGCTCCATGTGATTGGGTTCACTCCCCCACTCTGTCCCCTGTGTCCCTGCTGTGGCCACACAGCCTGCTCCTCCTCGAGCAGGCACTACTCCCCCGCCCCACCCCCAACCTGGAATGCTCTGGCCCCAGATAAACGCTAGTGCTCATTCCCTCCCCTCCTTCAGTGCCCCCCGGCACCCCCACCCCCTTGCCCTGGCCTCCTTCACCTGGCCCCAGTAGGACTTGGCACTTTCCACCGCACTACACAGCTTTTCCTCCCACTAAGCTGTGCGCTCCACAGGGGCAGGCATCTTTGTCCCCAGAACAGTGCTGGACACATGGTAGGTGCTGAGTAAATGCACGGTAAGTGAATTAATGCAGGAGCCCGCTCGTGGGCACCCAGCTGGTCAGTGGTGGTGCTGGGACCTGAACCCAGGCAGGCTGGCTCTGGTGTCCACACTCTGAAGCGCCCAGTGTGCTGCCAGGATGCTGAGCTGGCACCCCTGCCAGGGGCCAGGCCAAGGGGCAGAGTGTCCACATCCCCAGCACAGGCTGCTGGTCCTGTGGGAGTCTCACACTGTCATGGAGGGTCTGACTCCCCCAGCCCTTTCCTGTGAGGGGGGAGTGGGGTCTGGTTCAGCTGGAACCCCTGCAAACTATCTGCAAACTGAAGAAGGGCGTTCTCTTCCAATGCAACTCTGATGAGGTCACCACCTTGCTTGAAACCCTCAGTGGCTTCCTATTGTCCTCCCGATAATCGATAATCGAAGTCCACTGGGCATGGTTTACAAGGCATCCCTGCCTCCTGGCCCTGGCCTGGCCTGGAGTCTCACCTCCCACCATTCCTCACCTTGAACTTCATAATCTAGCCACTCCAGCCATTTCTCACCTCTTTGCTAAATCCCTCACTAGATCCTCCTTCTCAACCTTTAAGCTTTGCTCAGACTCCTCCAGGGCCTTCCTAGACTCCCCTCCCTGGCTTTCTGGGCTGGAGTGGGTGTCCCCTGGGTTCCCATAATCCCCTGTGTGTGGCTTCATCATGATTTATCACACCATGTGGTGATTCCCTGCTGTGTCTCTCTCATGAGAGCTTATGAGGCCATGGACTGGGTACCGAGCACATAGCACAGAGCCTGGTTCATAGCAGTGCCCACTACACTGTAATGAATGAATACCTCTTTCATAAATTAACTGGGCGGAATCTGCTCTGCGAGGTGGGGAGGTTTATGAATACGTATGTGCAAATGTGTGCACCGAGTCCTGTTTGCAGAGAACTAGGTCAGAGTCCCGCAACATGGACAGGAATCACTTAAAAAGTCTGGGGTAAAGGTCAAGCACCACTAAGCTACAGGCAGCTGGGACTCAGGCTGAATTGATGTTGGGGAGGAGGGAGGGGCAGCTGCTTGCCCAGCGTGGCCCTGCAGAAGGCCTGGGTGTTGCAAGAACAATGGCTGGTGTGTCCAGGTTCCTGACCTCCCACTGCACCTTGTAGCTCCTGCCGACCTCCCCAGTTAAGCATCTAAACGGTGCATCGTTCTATTCTGCCAGGTGTTCTGTCTGCTCTCACTAAACAGATGGTCCACTCCTCGAGGAAAATTTCTGTTTCCAGAAACGGGACGGCTTAAGCTGGATTAGGCCACCTGGCTCCGTTCCTTGTAACAGAAACTCTGGGAGAGCAGGGGTGGGAAGGGGTTGGCCTTGAGAAGGCACATTTGCCTCAGTTTATCCAACCACCTTTGCAAAGTTCTCAGACTTGAGTCTTGCATCAGACTCCCTGGAGGGCTTGTTAGACCCCGGCTCCTGCCCCACCCAGAGGTTCAGATCCAGCGGCCCTGGTCTGGGCCCGAGACTGGTACCCAGAAGCCCGGTGAAGACACTGCTGCTGGTCCCTGGGTCATGCCTTGAGGAACCCGGCTTTGGAGGCCCCTCGAGGGAGAGGTGGGTACTCACCTTCCTGTGCCTGGAGAGGGATCTGGGAGGCAGCGGATTTGGTGCTGCCCTTGCTCTTCTTGCTGCCCTGGCTGGCGAGAGATGGGTGAGCCTGCAGCTTCCGGTGGGCCTTGGGGCCACCCAGGGCACCATTCCCCGCCCGCCTGGCGCCGCCCAGCTCCAAGGGGTGGCCAGAGCCATTCGCCAGTAGTGGGGTGCAGCCCAAGGGGTTCCCCTGAGGCTGGCCTGGAGAGATAACGAGAAAGGGGGATGGAGTTGGGAGCCAGGCTGCATTCCCCTCCTGCCTGCTTTGTCCTCATGTACCCCACAGTTCACAGGCCAGATGTGTATCTTGCAGATGAGGAAACTGAGGCCCGGAGAGCAGAACTGACTTGCTCAGAGGCCCACCAGGAAATCGCAGCAGCGTGGAGCCTGGCTCCGGACTCCTGGGCCAGTGCTCATTCCAGAAGTCAGAGGTGCAAGAGGGGCTCGGAGTGCTGGGCCCCCCTCCTCCCTACGTGACATCCATTCTCCTGACTCGGGGTCTGGGATTTGGTCAGGAGAGGTGGCGGCTGGGGGAGGGACCGGGACAGTTTGGCTGGGGCGGGAGGACAGCAGTGAAGTAGTTAACCTTCACTCCGGCCTCTGCCAAGCCCCCAGCTGTTTCTGCCCTTCGTGCGCTGGGTGAGTTATTAGAAACATCTGTTTGGAGATGAAGGCCTGGTCTGGAATTCGGGGGCTCCTCACAGCAGCCCCTCCATCTCCTCTCCTCCATGCCCTGCCCTGTCGGCCTCTGTGGGGTGGCTGGCGAGAGTTTGCTGAGGGGCCTTGGGGTCTGGGTGAGGAGGGAGAGAAGAAGGGAAGAGGGAGGCCTGCGGGGAGACCCCTGAGGCCAGGAACCCCCGAGTCCCCTTCGCAGGCTGAGGGACTAGACTTCAGCTTTATCAGCGAGGTGCAGGGAAGCTGGCCCCAGAGAGCCCCCCCAAACACCCAGTTCTTCCCTCACCCACTCGGGTCTGCTCACCTGAAAGGCAGTGCTGTTCATAAGCCATGAGGGCAGCTGTGTGTCGGGGGAGGGGGCTGAGAAGGGGCACTAGCACTGGGAGCCCTCAGGGCAGGACCTGGGCAGGACCCATGGGCCCCAGGGCCTCTGTCAACATGGGGAACTTCCATCTCTCAGGTGCTGGGGCCTGGTCCCCCAACTCCCTCCCGGCCTGGCCTCTGTGTTTGAACTGTGGTAGGAGGAGACGGGGGTGGGGGTGGGAAGGGGCGGTGAGGGGGGCTGGAGACGGAGAAGGGAAGGCAGCCTCAGTGCCTGGCGAGGGGCTGGGCCTTCTGGGAAGGGCAGTAGCCACACCACTGAGCACTTACTGCTGGTCGGCCACTAGTTAAGCCCTTGACCTGCTAATTACTCACTCGCTGGATCCTCTGGGTATTGCTCCTGGGCTGTGTCCTCCCTTACGGACGAGGAAACTGAGTCCCAGAGAGGTGCAGTAACTTGTCCAAGGCCCTCAGCTCCTGTCAGAGGTGGACCAGCCTAGAAGCTGAAGCTCACAGGCCACAGGCAAGGAGGGGGCAGAGACTGGGAGGCGAGGGACTGGGGAACAAGCTGCTTCTAGCACAACCATCATTATGCTCATAGCTAGTGGCTGGCATGTTTCGAGCTGTGACTGGTGCCAGGCACAGTGCTAAGAGCTTTATGTGTAGGGATGTCTTTGAGTATCAGGAGAGACCTCTTATTAGCCCCATTTCACAGATGGCAAAACTGAGGCCCTGGAGGATAAAACTCGCCAAGAGTCCACGTCTAGGAGAGGGAGGGGGAGGGGATGGAGGTTGGGAGAAAGGAGCAGAAAGGTGGGGAGTCTGGCGGGATGGGAGACCGGGCTCTGCAGAGGATCGGCGCTGGAAGCCTTCCGCCCTGAGGCGTGGCTGGTGCCTGCATCTGGGTAAACAGGGGTAAGGGAAGTGGCCAGGCCTGAATCATCATGCCCCCACCTCTTGGCCCCATGGGGGTGACTGAGCTGAATCCTTGGCCGGCCTCAGTGCCCCCTGCCCTGCTGCCTAAACATGGCACAGTGACCAGAGGGCGGGCATGTGTGGTGAGCTGAGGGCCCTGGGGGGTGTGGGCAGACACAGAGCTTGCCTGTGGCCAGAGCAGTGGAGTGACCAGGGGGACTGAGTCACAGAGCAAACACTCAGTGCCCATAGACACAGGAGTGACTGTCCAACTCCCACCCAGACTGGCCACTGCGCTGACCTCTTTCCCTCAATTCTGCTGGTGGGCATGTTTGGAGGGGGCTGAGGGCAGTGCGCGAGCAGGATTTAGCAACCCTGACTTCCAGGGAGTCCAACTTCGCCCCAGATGCCCTGCCTGGCAGCGGCGGCTCCCGGCTCAGCGTGCCAGCCGGGTGGGCAGGCCCAGGAAAGAGCACTGGGTCAGGAGACCTGAGTCCCTCAGCTTATGTCAGGGGTGAGTGGTTCTCTGGGCCTCGGTTTTCTGGTCTGTAAAATGGGCTTGACAATAGCCAAGCTGCTGCTTGACAACAGACGGCTGGACAGCACTTGGGATCATTCAGGGAAAGAAAGTTGGAAAGTGCAACTGTGTCTGCAGATTTGGGCATCTTAGTAGTAATTACAAAACAGTTCCTGCTGCCCCTTTCCCCTGCTCTTGAGGGTGAAGGTGGAGAATGCTCTTCCTCCCAGAACCTCCTTGGAGACCTCAAACCAAGCCTGGGAACGAGACGGAATTTTGCTCCTTTCTGCCCAGATCAACCGGGGGCTTCTCTCCTTCCTTTCGCCCTGGATACCCTGAAGGCTAGTGCTGCGCTGGGCTCTGGCTGCCCCTCCCTGGTCTCTGTGCCTCTTTGCGGAGCCCCAGGCTCTCTTGTCCTGCACCATGTTGCTGGGTTCCTGACATGGTGAGGAACCCAGCTCAGACAAAGGAGTGAACCCTTTGCCTGTGCACACTCATTTTGAACTAATGTTATACTAATCATCCTGTGCGTGGAGATCTTCCTAGACAGAAAGGACAGTGACTGTGCCATGCACCTCTCCATTGCCCACCCTCCAGGCCCGGCTCTGTGCTAGGTCCCCGAGAGCACCCACTGCATTTCTGCCAGCCCATCTGGACTGCATTCCCCACTGTCACCCCTACGAGTTGCCACCCCAACTCCCCGGCCCTCTAGGACTCACGTGTCACAGCTTCTGTGGGGACGTCGAGGTCAGTGCTGCCCAGGGCCTGGGGGGCCCCAGGGCCATTGCCTTGAGGCATGGGGGGTGCCTCCTCCTCCAGGGAGCCCTCTTCTAGCACTGCCTCCACAGGGTGAGTGGGTCCTGTTCCTGCCTCCAGCCCAGGCAGGGGCGATGGGGTCTGGGCTGGGGAAAAAGCAGATGAGCGAGGTGTTTCCCATGCCCTCCTGTGTGCCCAGCCCTGGTCCCCTCCCTGCAGCCCGGATTGCTGTGAGCTCTCATTCTTGGTCTCTTTGTACAGTTACCCAGCCTTTACCCTACCTGGCAACCGTGCCGGACTCCAAAATAGACTCCCAAACCTCAGCGCGTGAGTGAGCAAGGGTGTGTGAGCGTGTGCTCGTGTGTGCCTGCGCATGTGTGTGCATGCGTGTTTGTGTGGTGTCAGGAGAAGGAGAAACAGTGCAGGAGAGAACAGCCAGGTGGTCAGCGATGGAGAGATAGGGACAGGCACCAGGAGTGACAGCGAGAGAGAAGGAATCAAAGGGACAGTGACAGGTAGAAGCAAAGATAGAGCAGCAGAAGGCGGGGATTGGGCACGGAAGGGGAGAGCCCCAGAAACCCGGTGACAGGCAGCCTGCGACAGGAGGGAGACTCAGCAACAGAGGGAAGGTAGCGATGGAGAGAGAGATAAGACAGGGTCAGAGGCAGAGGCGAAGGAGAAGGGAGCGCGATACAGGCTGAGCGAGAGGGAGACAGGCAGTGAGAAATTGGGTCAGAGAGAGGAAGACAGCAAGAGAAAGAGTTCGAGCAAACCTAGGGTGAGGGGAAGGCTGAGGCCTAGATTGGAAGGGCAGGAGCGACAGGGAGAGGATGAGAGGGCTGGGAAGAGGCGGGCTGCAGCCACATGTAATTACAGTGACCGGCTCAGCCCTCTGCACGGTGGGCGGAAGGAAGGAAGGGAGCCACCTTCAAACCCACAGTTCCCCAGGCGGCAGGCGGCAGGACTGGGCCCCTGGGCCCAGGGGAAAGGTTGGGGGCATGGGCGGTGGAGGGGGGAGGCAGAAAGGGGCCCTGGTTCTCACAGGGTGTGGGAAGGCCTGCGGGGAGGTAGGGCGCAGGGGGGTGAAGGCAGGGTCACGGGGCCAAGGAGCAGACTGGGCAATTACAGGGTGCAAGGTGCCGCCTGAGCCTCCGCAGACCTCAGGCTGTGCAGCGGGAAGACGGGGGCCTCGAGAGGGTGTCCCACATGCCATATGGGGGGCAGGGAGACATAGGAACAAGAGGCTCAGAGGGACACAAACCAAAAGGGCACAGGGAGAGGAAAGGGACTCGGGGAGACAGAGAAAGATGGAGGGAATGGGCGGTGAACCCCAGAGAGTAAAATACAGCCACGCGAACACACATCACAGAGGCCGAGAGAGAGGCAAAACCTAGTCTTGGCAATAGAAACAAATCAACAGTGAGGAACACTGGGGCTTACAGATGGGGTACCTCTCTGAGCTGTCTCCAAAAGGAGTGGGGGAAAGAGAGGAGGGAGATAATGAAGGTTGGGCACGCAGGTTTGGGGAGAGGAGAGGGGAGGGGGGGACTCTCAGGGGCTCAGCCGCCTCCCTGGGCCCTGAGCATCCCTCTATGGCTCTTGACCTTCAGAGAGCCCTGAGCAATTCTTGTTTCGAAGACCCTGGTCTCCTATGAGCAGGGGGCCAGGCCCCGGAGGCCCCAGGGGGGAGCACAGAGGGAGGCAGGCACGCTCACTCTCACTGCTGCCCAGGGAAACACAGGCCCTGCCTGGAGCCAGGAGCCAGGGCCGGAGGCGGAAGGGGCTGGGGCGCCAGCGACTTCTGGGGGACACCAGAGTCATGTGTTGGGAACCCCTCGTGGTGCCCCCTGCTGCTCCGCGGAGACGGGGTGGGCTCCTTCCAGCCCTACCCACTCTTTGGGCCGTTGAGAACCCCCTCACCCTGAGTAAGGAGAGAGGTCAGATGGCTTCTGGAAGGTCACAAGGCTGGGACCTGGGACCTGGGACGGGGTGGGGAAGGCGAGTGGAGATGACACGAGGGAGGAGATGCTGCCTGCTCGATGGGCCTCTCCTCGCCCTGAGCATCTGCAGCAGCTCAGACAAGACTTTCAGGGCTGAGGCCCCAGGTTGTGCGTGAAGGCGGGGATCAGGGCTTGGGTCCTAATTCCCTGGAAAGAAGGAGCCTGCCCAGCTCTGGCCTCTGGCCCTGAAGAGGAGCGCTGACTCTCCCTGTGGTAAAAGGAAGAAGTCTGAGCGAGAAGCCGTAAGATCCACGCCCTGGTTTCCCCAGGTACCAGCTCGGGCAAGTTACCAGGACTTGGGTTACCTTGTGTGTGACGGGGGTTCCTAACGCTGACCTCTCAGGGGTTCAGAGAGCAATGAGAGGCTAGCAGTGTCCTGGCCTGCGGGCCATTCAGGAGCACTTCCACCCCCCGACCCCACCACCTGCCCTCCTCACATAACCAGGAGAGAGAATCCAGTTCAGGCATCTTGGCCTGGAAACAAAGGGACAGCTCTCCTGGGTCAGGAGGGGCAGCGGAGGGGAGCAGCTGAGTGCCCGGAGAACCAAAAGCAGAATGAGAAGGAAGAGAAGTGGCGGGAAGACCTGATCTGCAAATCAGATGCTGCCCAGAGGGCCTGAGGCCAAGATGCAGGACCAGGAAACAGCCCTTGCCCGGGCACATGGGGCAAAAAAGCCAGACAGAGGCGAAGCCCAAGTGCTCAACCATCATGAGGTGGGAAGAGCCCAGTTTTCCTTCTTGTGACTGTGGGGCTCTGCTGTCCAGGCCCCGAGGGGAGAGCATCTCTGAGGAAAACGCCCAAAGGATGTCCCCTAGAGGGTAGAAATGCAGAGTAGGCTGGAGGCAAGGGTGGCCAGCGCAGGCCAAAGCTGGCCTGTGCATGTGCAATTCATGTTCTGCATAAAGGCGCCTGCTAAGGGGCAGGGGTGGGCTGAAGACCCTAGTTGTGCCAGGCTTCCTGGAGGTGCCATCGGCTCAGCCAGCTGCATGCCTGCTGCATCTGAGCAGAGGGCCACCTCTTTTTAATGAGCAGAAGCTCCAGCCCTGCACCCCCTCAGGGGTCCCCATCTACAAGCGGGAGGTACAGAAAGGCAACAGCCCCGTTGCCTGACACACTTTCATTCCTAACACAGGATAAGGTGCTGGTCCACGCCCTGAGCTCTGGAAAGACAGCCGAGAAGAGGGTGGGAAAATCATGTTTAAATCCATCAGCCCCAAAGGGTAGGGTGAGAGACCCACCACCTCAGCAAGGAACCTGTGGGCTCCCTCCGCCTGCTGTCCACCAAGTTGAGAGGGTACTCCTGGACTGAGAAGAAATGGGGGGCCTCTTCCAGGTGGGATGGGTTCGCTCCAAGGCTGGAAAGTGACCACAGGGCCCTAGTTCTGGAGCTGCAAGGCCAGACCCTGCACACCCAGCCTTCTCCACGGGCTTTGTGGACAGTGGGTCTGGGCTTCTCCCTGGGAGCTCTGACCATCTCTGCAGAGAGAGGGGACCAGGACCTGCTCTGCTCAGAACTCCAGCCTCTCCCTGGCCTGATATTCAAGGCCTCAGTCTAGAGTCTAGACCTTCAATAATCAATGGACAAGGATCGCATGTTCCAGGCACACTGACCTCTCCATGGCCCCAGGCCTTCCGACCCATCCCCTCAGGCTTAGATTGTTCCTTTCTCCCACCCCACAATCCAACCTCCCTCCATCACCCAGCTCCAGCTTAGTCTCTTCCTCCAGGGCCTTCCCTGAGCCCCGAGCCAACTGTCCCTCCTCCGAGTGGCCCACTGACTGAGAGCTCAGCACTCAGCACCCCTGCTGTTCACTATAACCTGGTAGTGGAGTCCTGGCCCCTCAAACCTCTCCCCCGCACCCCCCACCAGCAGCCTCCCTGGCTCTGCTTGGCAGTAGTGTCACTGTTCATCTCGCACCACCGCAGGGGGACTCAGCAAGGTCTGTGGGTGAGGACTGAGCTCTGGAGCTTGGAATCGCCCAGGCCAGGGAGGGAGAGAGAAGGAGACAGGGAGGACTGGGGGTGGTGACTGGCTCTGAACCCCAAGAAGGCGAGAATGTGGACTCTCTTGATGCCTAATTGTGACACCCTGGTCACAGTCCCAGGCCACCCGGCTGAGGACTGGAGAGGGCCTGAGCTGGCCAGTTGGGCTGGGTTGGGTTGGTTTTATTTTAGGTCTGAAGGCTCCAATTCCCCAGGAAATTCAATTTAGAACCAAGAGCAGGAATGTGACGCCCCAGTGCTGGGCAGAAATCTGCTGTGGGTTAGGGAGCCAGGTTCTGGGGCTCTCAAGGGGTGGGTGGGGAGAAGCCACTGGGGGCGCCAAGGGTGTGGGGGCTTGGCCACCCGCCCCAACCAGAGCTGCCCTGAGGCTCCTTCACCCCATTTTCATCTGACTCCGCTGAGGGAGGGGCTGACTTGTTCCCTGGCTGTCCCGCCAGCAGGGCCCCCAGGGGCAGCACCCTGGCCTTGCTGTGCTGTCAGGGCTCAGCAGGGAGCGTGGGGGATTCTGGTCTCGGATTCAGGCGTCTGTGGGGTTTTGGCTGGGTCTCCTGCGGTTTGGGCTTCCTGGGCAGCGGCCTCATGCTCCCAAGGCGGCAGAGCCAGGCCTCCTCCTGTTATGAAAGCCACATTGTCTGGCTCAGCCCGGCCTGGGGAGGGGGCTCGCTGGGGTGCTGGGGGCCTCAAGTTACAGCCCCTGGCTCAACCCTCCCAGTGGTCCCCCTGGCCTTTTAGCCCCTCTTCTCCCTTCGGGACTGAGAGTAGGTGGGTCGCACAGGGAGCGGATCTTGGAAAGAGGCACTGGGGGTGGGGGGGTGGCAGAGAAAACAGATAAGCAGAGGAAGAAAGCAGGGAGTGGGAGGATAGGAGAGAAGGAGGCCGAGAAAGAGAGGAGGGGTGAGGGAAGCTGAGAAGGAGAGAGACGGTTCCCAGCCCCCAGAAAGCCTTCCCGGCCCCTGGCTCCAGCCCTCTCCAGCCTGAAGGAGCCCAGTTCTTGGAAGAGCTAATTCCCCAGAAGCCCCTGCTCCAGGGGCCCACAGAAAGGAGGAATCTGAGGATTATGGGGGGCACGTGCAGTGGGAACATTAGTGTCATTCATGTGCTGGCCCCTGGCCAGATATCCCCCCGCTTGTCCTCACTCTGTTCTAGGAGGCCCCCCACCTCCATAGCCTGGCGGGGGCGGGGGGCAGAGTGCCATGGTTCTCACTGGGCAGACCTGGGGAGCTGGGACAGGCCCCCCAGCAGGCAGATAGGCTCCTATGAGCGGATGTGGAGACTGAGGCCAGAGGGGAAGGAACTTGTCCAAGGCCAGGCCGGGAGTTCATGTCAGAGGTCCAGGACCAGACCATCATTACTCAAAGGGGGAGAAAGGGAGAGTGGGGTGTGTGTGTGTGTGTGAGAGAGAGAGAGGCAAATGAATTAGACTCACTTAGAGCTGGGATTGAAGTCATGCAATCTGGGCCTACATCCCTGCACCCCAGCCCTCTGCCCTGAACAGATCCCAAAAGTTCCCGACCTCTGACCCTGTGTTCCACTGGGAGCCTCTGCTCACATCTGTACGGTGAGGGGGGCTGAGGCCACAGCCCACGGGGCTCCCACCCTCAGGGAGTCTCAAACCTCCCTGGGCAGGGAGGCTCCTGCAGGAACCCGGGGAGGTTACAGACCCTGTGAGCTGGGAGAAGGGATGTGTGTGTGTGTGTGTGTGTGTGTGTGTGTGTGCATGTGCAGGGTAGGAGCAAAGGGGACTGGCCAGGCCCGGGTGCGGAGGAAGGCGAGCAAGACAGATGGCAAGAAGGGGAGGGCCAGGTCCTGCGGCAGCTTTAGGCGGACAAAAGTTTTCGGGAAGCGCTGGGCTCTGGTTGGGTTGGGGGAAGGGAAGGGGAGAAAGACTCAGACACCCCCACCCTCGCCTGAGGCCCCCATAAATATTTACACACTGGGCAGAAACGGCTGGGACACAAATCCCAGACGGACAGACGACCTGCAGTGTGTGTGTGTGTGTGTGTGTGTGTGTGTGTGTGTGTGTCTGGTGCTGGGAGTGAGGGGAGTTAGAGCCAACTTGGCACAGCCCCGGCTGCGTTGGGGCCCTGCCCCCATCACCCCAGCACTCCACTCGTTTTGGACCCCATCCCGGATAGCCAGACCCCTCGCCCCCACTTCCACCAAGCTCCCCGAAACCGTCTCCTCGTGTCTCAGGGAGAAGGGGGGAGAATTATACCCCCCCATCCCGGAGCCGCCCACCCCGCTCCGGTCCAGTCTCCCTCTCCACACCTCCCCCCCCCCCAACATACCT